TCTGAAAACAGCTCAGTTAGGAGATTTACCAGAATGCAGCTACTCCTTGTGCCAATCCTGTCCTCCTTCCCCAGGCCAAGAACGCCCTGGCTCATGCCTTGCAATCTGCCCGCCACGACTGTGACTTGCTGCGGGAGCAATATGAAGAGGAGCAGGAAGCCAAGGGCGAGCTGCAGCGYKCCYTGTCCAAGGCCAACAGTGAAGTGGCCCAGTGGAGGACCAAATATGAGACGGATGCCATTCAGCGCACGGAGGAACTGGAGGAGGCCAAGTATGTGGGGACTGTAAAGAATATCAGCAGAGACTAAGAAAGGAAGTCACGATTGTGCTTTGGGGTGGGAGGGAGGTTATATCCTGTAGTGTATGGAGGTAGGAAAAGGAAAAGGAAAACATGTGTAGGAAAGAGGCAAAGAGGGATAAAGTCTACACATTTTGGAGTTACTAAGCATGCTATTTCTTAAAGCTCATCAGCAATATAACATGGCTCTCATTTGCTCCATAACCCTAAGCTGTATTTACCACCTCCCAGGAAGAAGCTGGCACAGCGTCTGCAGGAWGCAGAGGAACATGTGGAAGCCGTGAATGCCAAATGTGCTTCCCTGGAAAAGACAAAGCAGCGGCTGCAGAATGAAGTGGAGGACCTGATGATTGATGTGGAAAGAGCCAACGCTGCCTGTGCAGCTCTGGACAAGAAGCAGAAGAATTTCGACAAGGTAAAATGGGCTCCAACCTTGTCGTCTTGTGACAGAGCATCCCCTCATGATTGCCAGGTCCATAATCAGGCCCTGTTRCTCTTCAGATCCTGKCAGAGTGGAAGCAGAAGTATGAGGAAACACAGGCTGAGCTGGAAGCCTCCCAGAAGGAGGCTCGCTCTCTCAGCACRGARCTKTTYAAGATGAAGAATGCCTATGAGGAGTCCCTGGACCACCTGGAAACCCTGAAGCGGGAGAACAAGAACTTGCAGCGTAAGTCCTGGGGGCTCTGCTCCTGATAAGCTTCTCTATCCACTAACTTGTGACATGGTGAGGTTGTCTGCCATCTTCGTATCATAGGACATTTCCTACCTTGTCCAGTGACTGATCCTGCTAATTGTCTCTACAGAGGAGATTTCCGACCTCACGGAGCAGATTGCAGAGGGAGCAAAGGCCATTCATGAGCTGGAGAAAKCAAAGAAGCAGGCTGAGCAGGAGAAATCGGAAATCCAGGCAGCTCTGGAGGAAGCCGAAGTAAGTAGCTATAATCCATGGTTTTCAGTCTGGGAGAACGGGGAAACATCGTAGAAAATAACTGCTTGAAGCTGTAAGCCACATGGCATTGCTCTCTCTCTGTTGAGCTTCAAACTGCAAACTCAATTTCCAAGTCAAACCAAAAAAAAACAGGCCTACTTTACTGTGCAAGCGGCTGTACCAGAGAGAATAACATTAGGAAATTCACTTTTATTAATATGGTGATTTTGATTCTTTTTCAGGCGTCCCTAGAACATGAGGAAGGGAAGATCCTKCGCCTSCARCTGGARCTCAACCAGRTCAAGTCTGAGATTGACCGGAAGATAGCAGAAAAGGATGAGGAAATCGACCAGCTGAAGAGAAACCATCTCCGAGTYGTGGAGTCCATGCAGAGCACGCTGGATGCTGAGATCAGGAGCAGGAATGAAGCCCTGAGGCTGAAGAAGAAGATGGAGGGAGACCTGAATGAAATGGAGATCCAGCTGAGCCATGCCAACCGTCTGGCTGCAGAGGCCCAAAAGAACCTGAGAAACACACAGGCAGTACTGAAGGTCAGTTAAGCCCAAGATATGTATGTAAGCTTTTAGCTTGGGTAATGTACTTGCATTATAACTACACATACAAGGGTAGCAGTGAGGCACTGCATTAATTTCTGCTGCCGCCTTTACAGGATACCCAGATCCACYTGGAYGATGCTCTCAGGACACAGGAGGACCTGAAGGAGCAGGTGGCCATGGTGGAGCGCAGAGCCAACCTGTTGCAGGCTGAARTWGARGAGCTACGGGCAGCCCTGGAGCAGACGGAGCGGTCCAGGAAAGTGGCTGAGCAGGAACTGATGGATGCAAGCGAAAGAGTTCAACTTCTCCACACTCAGGTCAGATTCCTGTGTGAAAAAAMCTCAAATAGGCATTGATGGAGGTCACTACTGTGTAAATAAGATTCAAGGAGAGACTGTGGTGCTTYAGAACTTCGTTGTTAAATGGCAATCTTTGGAGATAAATAGATTTTATCCTGAGATTAAAAAAAGAAAAAATAGAAACAAACAACAAAACCATCATAAAGTCCTAAGAGTTATTTCACATTTTCCTTATGGTCACAACATGAAGCTTTACATGCTTTAATCTTAATTATGACTCACTCTGACTGCTTCCAAAATGTATCCTGTGAGTCACAGAATTTTTCCTTTTCTGATTCATTGTTTATGTAAATTATTTAGATTGTCCATACCTGAACTGAAATTGCTATCCTGATACCAAGGAGTGGATTGTAGCTCAATTAATATGATTTAATTAGGACAAGACAGAACTACTGCTTAAAAATATTCACAGTACTCTATTGACTGGCTAGTTATAACCAGAAAAGGTAATTCAAGTGAAGGAGTGTGTTGATATTAGAAATATTGATAATCAAAACGTTAGATTCCGAGAACTCGTGCTGAATGAATGTAAAGGATATTTTTCTTGTTCCACAGAATACCAGCTTGATCAACACCAAGAAGAAGCTGGAAACAGACATTTCCCACATTCAGAGCGAAATGGAGGAGACAATCCAGGAAGCCCGCAATGCTGAAGAGAAGGCCAAAAAGGCCATCACAGATGTGAGTTGGGGGCTCCTTGCTGGCGGGTTGTGGATGGATTCTGACCCAACATGCCTCCCATCCTAAACTGGCTCTATTCCTTTGCTCTGCAGGCAGCGATGATGGCAGAAGAGCTGAAGAAGGAGCAGGACACGAGTGCCCACCTGGAGAGGATGAAGAAGAACTTGGACCAGACAGTGAAGGACCTGCAGCWSCGYCTGGATGAGGCYGAGCAGCTGGCAYTGAAAGGAGGCAAGAAGCAAATCCAGAARCTGGAGGCCAGGGTGAGTAAGGGCTGGTGTTGATGCATGAGGGAGCATGTSCCAYGAGGCACCWCCAGTGAAGCWCCAAGGATGGGTTTCTCCTTGCAGGTGCGCGAGCTGGAAGGGGAGGTTGATTCTGAGCAGAAGCGCAGTGCTGAAGCCGTGAAGGGTGTGCGCAAATACGAGAGGAGGGTGAAGGAGCTSACCTACCAGGTAGGGCTGGAGGCCWCYCTGTGTTGACACAYCCCCTTCCCAGGGAATCAGAATGTTGGCACRCAATTCCCAAGGGGAATTGGTAACYTMCTGCAGTGTGGAAAMAATTCCCTCTCTTTTCTGCTCACTAATTGCTCTAGTCTGAGGAAGACCGGAAGAACATTCTGCGCCTCCAGGACCTGGTGGACAAGCTGCAAATGAAAGTGAAATCCTACAAGAGACAAGCTGAGGAAGCTGTAAGTTTCCCTCTGAGCAGAGCAGGATTCTCTCAAAAGAGGAAAGCAGACATTGTGTTCTAAACAGAGAAAGAAAAGGAAGTCTGCCGACCAAGCTTTTTTGGGAAATAATAATAGTGAGGGGATGAAAGAGTTGTGCCTTTCCCCAGTTTTTATCCCCAAACCCTCAAGTTCCAGTCAGAAGGTGAAAGGAAAGTCTTCAACACCTTTCTCTCCCCCTACAGGAGGAGCTGTCCAATGTCAACCTCTCCAAATTCCGCAAGATCCAGCACGAGCTGGAGGAAGCCGAGGAGCGGGCTGACATTGCAGAGTCGCAGGTCAACAAGCTCCGAGTCAAGAGCCGAGAGTTTCACAGCAAGAAGATAGCAGAAGAAGAGTGAGGATGTCGAGAAACCGCAATTTGACTTGGGTGGTGTACAAAACGTTAAGCTCTGCCATTTTCTTCTGCTCTGAATTTTGCRTCTGCTTCAGTGCCTAGAGAATAAAGACAGTAGATTCCTTTGCATATACAGTATAAGTTGTGGTTTTGGTTATTATATTTCATTTCTGCAGTTACATACACTTCAGGCATTTTCAAATGATTAATTTTAAGAATACTTTAGAATTTTAAGTAGATCCATCAGAGCAACTTAAAAATTCTGCAGTACTTTTAGTATAGAATTCTTATTTTTTTTTCAGTAACACAGTTTTAAGGTTAGATTAAGCTAGCATAAAATAGTCCCAAACATTTCGCCATGCTGTCCTAGCTGTGCCCTTGAGCAATGCAGAAATCAGGATATGGAATCAGGGTATGGGACAGGCAGGGAAAATCCATTTCTCCTCACTTTGTGACATGCTGCCCTACATGGAGGACAGGAATCATTTTGCATTGATGCACTATTTCTGGAGTCAGGCAGCGTGTCATCTTAATAAGTGCTGATGCAAAGGTAACTGATCTTTAGAAAAACATGGGTCTATAATAGCCATAAAGAGCATCTCTAAAAGGAAGTTTCAGCAGATGCAGCCTATGGACCCTACTGGAGTCACTGCCCACTATGAACCATGGAGAGCCTCAAAGCTATGACAACTTAGGCATGAAAGAGTSTCCTGACTCTATCTCCACAGAACAAGAGCAAAGGCCCTGTAATAGCATCAAGCGTGTTTTTGAAAGTATTTCTGATCTGCAGAAAAATAAGGTCATTTTAGACACTTCMTGTCAATAGCACCAAGCGAGCATTTTAAATCTCCAGGCACTTCCTAGCTCTCTGAAACAATGCCTTGCCAAAAAAAAAGGTGCACTCCTTCCCAATGAGGGAGAGGCAGAGGGAAAGAGCAAGAGCAAAAGAGAGGAAGAGAAAGGAAGAAAGGAAGGGAAAAAGAGAGAAAAAGTGAAATAGAGAAGGAAGAAAAAGGAGGGAGAAAGTGCAAAAGAAAGGGAAGGAAGGAAGGAAGGAAGGAAGGAAGGAAGGAAGGAAGGAAGGAAGGAAGGAAGGAAGGAAGGAAGGAAGGAAGGAACGCGAATAGTGTCCTGGGGTGCATTAGGAAGAGCACTGCTGACAAGTTCCCTCTACTCAGCCCTATGTCCACTTCTGGGCTCCCCAGCATAAGATAAACATGAAGCAATGGTAGCAAATCCAGTGGAGGGGTGCTACAATGATTTAGAGCCTGGAGCCTGTTTGGCTGCTGCCTAACATTCCTTGGAGCTCTCATTTTACACAGACAGCAGCAGAAAATGCCACTGCAGTGAAGGCTGGACACAACTTGTTAGATGGATCATCAGTGTCCCTAGAGAGCACTGATTCCTCCAGGCATGCCCTATTCATACTAAAAATGTGGCCAACAACAGCATATGCAAACTGAAAATTGCATGGGGAATGTTTCTGAAATAAAGTGATAATAATTCCAATATCCCAATAACTGCATCCCCTGTCTTTTCCAAAGACAGGCCATGACAGACCAACCTGTCTGCTTTCTCAGATAAAGATGCCCACTGTTTGGCCACCAGCACTGTGACATTACTGATCCAGCTGGACTTCAGAAAGAGCAGTGCAGAAAGGCTAGCTGGGAAACTGCTGCTAAAGYGAGGAAAAAACAAGAATTCAGACCTAGGTTGTAAAGCAGGGTATATTTTCCTCAGGAAAGTGAGCTTTCAAGTTGACTCCTTTCAACTGGCAAAACTTCAGAGAATTGCTGCTCAAAATATTCTGGCAGAGTTTTGGACAACAAGTGAAGGACAAGCATATTTGGAAAGCTCCTTCGTCTGACCTGACTTGGAAGGCACAACCCTCAGTGCTTCTCACCCATATTAGCGGTAAATGTTAGTAACTCAGTGATGACAAGGAGGGAAGCTTGTTGGAAAGCAGATCATTCATAATRAAAAGGACAGGAACCAACACAGTGGAGTGTTTGGGATCCAACCATCCTGCTCAATATGCTCAAGCAGTACAATAAATGTATTTTGCCTTGGTCAATCTGCCTTGTTGGGGCATTTCCCAGGTCTGCCTGGAGAGAAAAAAAGCTTSCAGGCAATGCCATGGTGAAAACCTTGCATGTCCTCTGTGATGAAATCTAAATTCCTGAGTGAACGTCACACACCTTTCTGCAGAAAGCTCACTCTCAAGTGGCAGGACAGGTGGAGGGCACTTGGTTCAAGGTAGTAGAGAGTGCAGAAGGCATATGCAGKCACACACACGCACACACACACGCACACACACATAATCTCTTACACATACAGCCTTATATATATATAGGAAGGGCTTCTTCTTGTCATCWGCTAATTGTCCATCACAATTCACAAAGCATCCTTCCTGCATTTCCTCCTCTCAACAGAAGCTGTCCTAGGGACAACAGCCTCCTGCTCTGAGGACACAAAGCTGTGCTCTATCAACATCCACTCCTGATGCAGGCTGYGCTCCTACYGCACTGCRCGCTTGGCCTGTGCTGGAAGAAGCCTGAATGCCTTCCATCATGTGCAAACCAAACTCATAGGTGCCAAATTTTCTTGTTATGCAGATAATCCACTCTGCAGAAGATGCAATGACACTCAAACTATTCTGCCGCACAATCCAAGTAGCAATTCTATGTGTGGATTGTTTCCTAGGCATGTTAACATGTCCTTTGCTACAAGGCTGGCCCTGGCAGAGCTGYCATGTGGGCATCTCCACTGAGGATATGAGGGAACTGCTGAAAGCCTTTCTCTGCTGAAAGCAAGTCCACAAATATTTTGACTACGTGAAATTCCYGACATGAAACTCGCCGAAGTTGCAGCTCTTCAGAGGTGTGTTTCTGATGCAATTTCAGAGGCCAAGACACAGTTCAGATGCCCATTCTAAACCAGATGTCKTTCATCCTCACACCAACTGGGTCCATTTCAACACGATTCGCTTTACGTCTASTGGAATAACGACAGCTCTCTGTCTCATATCAACCTTGTTCTGGATCCAAACACAGGAAGAATGAATCCTGGCTGTACCACACAACAAACGCCCTGGCTTGGGAAGTGTCTGAGCCATGAACCACTGGAAAATGGAGCAGTGTTCAGGAAGAGYATTAGTGGGTTTCACCTTTTCTCATGCTCTCTATACTTTCTTCACTTCAGACATTAGAGATGTTCTTATTCACTGAGCAGAAGACACTGGCCTAGACAGGACCTAGGCCTGACTCAGGCTAGAAGCCTGACCTCTATGTCCTGACATGACTGATACCACAGCAGCATGGCAAGTAGGCCCTGGTCAGGATTAGCAATACTGCCCTACGAACCCACCTCTTGTCTGGGCAATACCACCCGCACTGAGCCCTGTGGGTTCCAGGCTCATGCTGGTTTCTGACAGAGCAAGTTCACTGCTGTGAAATGCACGAGAGAGAGACCAGGAAAGCCACACCCTAAAGGTTTGATTGTGCAGTTTCACAAAATGGACAGAATCACAGAATGATTGAGGTAGGAAGGGACCTCTAGAGATCATCTAGYTCAATGCTCAAGCAGAGAACCTAGAGCACATAGCACAGGATTGCATCCAGATGGGTTTTGAATATCTMCAAAGATATCTCCAAGATTTACTTGGCAATATCTGAGATTTGGAAAATGAAACAGGGGAGTGGGAAGAGCTGGGAYATGGTCAACAGTGTTCACAGCTCTTTGAATGGAAACTTATCCGTCTTYACACTCATACAGAGACTCCCCCCCTTTACAGAAACACTGGAGCCCATTTGAGTGAGGTAGGCAAATGTGAGAGTATTAGTATAAATGGAACCATTGCTTTAAAATGAGCTTCTAACATCTAAAACAAATGTATAAATCTCTGAGTTTTTTTATTTGGTCCAGATCATGTTCCTTGTACAGCTGGTGGAATCAAATGCTACACTTAGCAAAGGCCTCTATCCATCCTCTCAACTCTTAAATCGTCAGCGAAAAATTAGATTCTTTCTTCTGAAACCCAACCCCAGGAGGGTAGTGATATAAATAACCGTAAAAAGCAAGCACTTTGGCTGGGATCCTCAGAAACATATTTGTGTTATAATTACTGAGCCAGGCTCCACTGCCTTTCCCAATTCGGGCGGGTGCATTTTGAGGAGATCCTTATAAACCAATATGCACAGTGGTGAGAGGGTCAAACTTACTACGTACTCCAGACCTTACCTGAATTAGAATGACAAATTTTCAAGCATCCCACAGGGGCTGCTCCCACGGGCATGGGTTTCTCAGAACATTCAGTGCCATCTGGCATGGGCATTTTAAGTGTCTTTCAGCCCTTGGAAAGGCCAGGTCAATTTTGAGGCCCTTCAAGCTGGAGATGTGGCAGTGAACAAAGCTAAGAAAACGTCTTTAAAATCATGAGAGAATGAGAAGGAATAGGGAGAGGATGGATCACTGAATCTCCCTGTATAAGAAGTAGGGACATCAAATGAAATTAGCTGGTGGCAGACTGAGAACAAGGAAGCACATGATTTGTAGAATCCTTTCCACCAACAGAGTAGCTAATAAATATGTCCGCCCAGTTAAAATATCACTGCGCAAACTCATGAGAGAATAATCAGATGTAGACTCCTGAGTGCACCACACAACAAACACACCTGGTTTGGAAAGTTTCTGCTGGAAAGCTGAAACTGAAATTTGTACACCACTTTCTTAAGAACTAGACACATTTCAAGATTAACTCTAGAAGACTTGAATTGTTCCAACAGGTTGAATAAAATTAGCACTGACCCAGTGCTTAATAGTAGTAAAAATAAGCGTCTTTTTAGCATAAAAGTTCTATTGCTTATGACTCAAAGTTGCTTTCAGAAAACCGTGTTGTTCATATCAGTATTTCTCACTTGAAGTGAAACCATCACACAGCAGCTTGAGCCGGCCTAAGTTGTGATGGTACTCATACAACAGTCAGTACACAGGAATTCTGAGACA